CCTCCTGAAGTGCAGCCACAGTACTGCTCTGAAACCTAAGATCCGCCTTGAAATCCTGTGCAATTTCTCTGACTAGTCCTAACAATCTTAATAACAAAGTTGCGGATAATAGTTTAACCGAGGCTATAGATGAATTGTCGGTTTTGTGAAACACTTGATAAATACAATTGTGAAAACAACATTAACAGAAACAGAGTACTGGTACTATATATAATTTTTCACAATGAGTACTTTGTATTGTGAAAAATTTATCCATAAAACCAGAAAAGAAGAAAAACTTTAGAACTATGTAAATTTGATTATGTTACCTTTGCATCTTGTAAAATCAACTCAATCAAATATGGTTTTTCAGGATTGAAACGATCCGGCATTTCCCACATTCGAACGACTCTAACTTTGAGGTTCCATTGCATCGAATTGCTTGAAATTTGACTGATTTCATTAAATGTTGTAGCCATATTTACAAACTTATGTATTTTGAGCAGAGAAAAAAAGGGAATAGAAGTAGAATAGAAAAGAAAAAAAGAAAGAGAAGGCGTTTGAGACATTATTAGTTTAGGAGACAGTTTCTAAGTTATGGAGTTAGGTTTTGATGCCCACGTTTGTGAAAAGGATCTGGAGTAATTTTCATCCGGATAAAAGAAACGTGAGAGTCCAAAATATTGAATAGATGATCGTAGATGAAGAAATATGGGAGTCCAAAAAATGTGGGACTCATGGATATGCACAAATGTGGGACTCTTAAGGGAAATAACTGAAACATATTAATGCTTTAAAAACTTCAAAATAACTTTTTTATTTTATAAATTATAATTTTTTTGAATCTCCAAACTTATTGGAGTTTTGTATTAAATCTTGACACGTGTAGATTTTTCGGTTTGACACTTGGCACAATATTATGAAGTTGCCTCTCCTTTTCTATATTAGTAGATAGATAAGTGGATACGTCGGAAGTTCCAACTATTATTACACAAATTATTTGTCACGGCACAAAACTTAAACTCTTAAATAAATAGGTTGGACTATGTGGGAACATAATAGAACAAAAGAGCCATTTAGAATTGCAAACTTTAGTCGTTTGGCCATGCAAATTTTCACGTAGAAGCTATACTAGCAATTGAACATAATACCATATATAATTTAACTATTGGAACTCCAATCAAACTAAGGGGTGGTTTAATTAGCGGAAAAACTGCTTACGAATTACAGTACAGTCAAACCTTTCTATAACATTATCCCTATATAATAGTCATTCATTATAAAAATCATGTTTTATCGGAACCAATATTTTTATATTATAATATATATATCCTTCATAACAACACTTCACTATGGCAACCAAAAAATATTGAAACAAATATAGAAAAATTTGACTGTACGTGCATTGTTGCAACCTTAAATGCTGGATTATTTAATGGATTTGTAATTTTTATTATCGAATATTTGTTTGATGATATTAAAATATGGATATATGATGTATAAAGTAAAATATGTGTTCTGTTTTAAATTGAAAGTTTGTTACAAACAATACTTTCACACAATATTAATTGTATCATATGCGATTAAACATATGTTGAGTTGTGTCCCACATCGGTGGGTTATGGGTATCTTGGTCTCCTTATATGGTCTTGGGCAATCCTCACCTCACAAGCTAGCTTTTGGGGTTGATTTAGGCCCAAAATCCATTCTTAACATGGTATCAGAGCTAGACTCATCCCAATTTATTATTACCGATGTTGGGTCCCCATTTATATTGTCCACGCTCCAGTTGCAGGCCTGAGCGTGGGGGACGGGGGTGTTCCTCTATAACAATAATTGTTTAAGGAATACTTTTGTTGTTTTACTAGGTCTTATCCAGGTGTTGCAAATACATATACTATTAGTTACATTATATTTCCATACCAAGATTATTTCAAATACATATACTATTAATTACATTATATTTTCTATAAAATAATACGAAAACTGCATCATAATTGATGGTAAGTTATGATTAGGGGGAGGGGGGTGTTCCTCTATAACAATAATTGTTTAAAGAATACTTTTGTTGTTTTACTAGGTCTTATTCAGGTGTTGCAAATACATATACTATTAGTTACATTATATTTCAATACCAAGATTATTTCAAATACATATACTATTAATTACATTATATTTTCTATAAAATAATACGAAAACTGCATCATAATTGATGGTAAGTTATGATTAGGGGGAGGGGGGTGTTCCTCTATAACAATAATTGTTTAAAGAATACTTTTGTTGTTTTACTAGGTCTTATCCAGGTGTTGCAAATACATATACTATTGGTTACATTATATTTCAATACCAAAATTATTTCAAATACATATACTATTAATTACATTATATTTTCTATAAAATAATACGAAAACTGCATCATAATTGATGGTAAGTTATGATTAGGGGGAGGGGGGTGTTCCTCTATAACAATAATTGTTTAAAGAATACTTTTGTTGTTTTACTAGGTCTTATCCAGGTGTTGCAAATACATATACTATTAATTACATTATATTTTCTATAAAATAATACGAAAACTGCATCATAATTGATGGTAAGTTATGATTATGGAAACCAAATAAGGAACAAAATAGCGGATTACTAATGTGAAATTCAATACCAAGATTATTTCGCGTAACAAGATGACTTGTAAGAGTATTAGGCCTAGTATTTCCAAAAACTTCAATGGCAACACTTATAAGCTACATATTTTGATGAGTTTTGTTTTCTTTTCTTCCATAAACTATATTAATGGTGTAATTTTCATAATATTTAATAACTGGAACATTAATATGAAGCATAATACCTATAAAAAGAAAAGAGTATAAAGCACAATACTTCATCAAATTGCAGTTTCTACATCTGTAACGTATATATAAGTTCATCAAATTGTAATATCTGCACTCTGCGAAACTTCTTATCGTCTTTATTAAAAATCGACAAAAATCGAATAGAGTTAATTGCTTTGATTTAGTTCTTATATTCGAAAAATCGACTTAATTATTTTGATTATCTTTTAGGTAAAAATCGATCCAAACCGAACCATGAGCACTCCTAATAGTGGGACTGGAATGTAGTTATTGTAGTTGTATAGTGTGGGGCTTGATTAGGAGTCTTATTTATAATATTCATTGTATGGATTAGAGGTTTAGATTAATTTAAATGCATGTTAATAGATAGTAGTTGTTAAAATATTTCTTTATTATTCATTATTGTCAAATATAAAATATTTTTTTCTCACTTACAAAATTTGATAATCAATTATGATAAAATTTTATACCTTATTTTTTACGTTAATGTCAAAATTGGATCTGTTTACTTTATTCTATTAGTCAAATAGGAAAGACAATATTTTTTCTCCGACTTCAGACATACTACTAGGATTCAGTTAATCAGATTCCTAACGTAACTCGAAGAAATATCTTGCAAAAAAAAAAGGTACTCTCAAACATATATTTTTGTAAAGGAAAGTACAAAAAATCTCAGTTTGAAGAAAAGTT